CGAGCGGTGCAGGCAGCAATTCTGCTGATGCCGGATGAGAACCGAGAAGTCCTTCAAACCTTACTGTATTTTCTGAGTGACATTTCCTCCGCTCAGGAGAACCAGATGACTCCCGGGAACTTGGCCGTCTGCCTGGCGCCATCGGTCTTTCATCTGAATATCTCTAAAAAAGAGACACATTCTCCTCGGTGAGTTTTATCTCTGGTCTGGTAACCTTCCAGCTCTCAGAACTTCTAGTTTGTAACTGTGCCAGTACCACCTACCACCATAAAACTAGTCTTTATGGAGCTGGAACAGAAAATGGACTTCACCAAAACCGTTTCTGCAAATGTCTATGTATGATTATTACCAGAACCCTTCACTTCGAGACACCTGAACTTCATCGACCTTTTTGAAGGTGGTCCATGTACTTTTCGCTATATAACAGAGTGATGGACACATGTCTCACCTTTTGGCCTTAGTGTAGTTTCCTTGGTTCCTCAGACCTGAAGAAGCTACTTGGAAAAGCGGTGAAAGGTCTTCCACAAAAGAAGTCCTTCACTTGGAGATGCCTGAACTCCATCATAGTAAAAGTACATGGACCACCTTCAAATGATGGACACATGTCTCACTTTTGGCCTTAGTGTAGTTTCCTTGGTTCCTCAAACCTGAAGAAACTACTTGGAAGAGTGGTAAAAGGTCTTCCATAAAAGAAGTCCTTTACTTGGAGACACCTGAACTCCATCATTTGGAGGTGGTCCATGTAGTTTTGGTCATATAATAGGTGTGATAAACAAGTGTCTTACTTTTGGTCTTCGTGTAGTTTCCTCGGTTCCTCAAACCTGAAGAAGCTACTTGGAAGAGTGGTGAAAGGTCTTCCACAAAAGAAGGCCTTCACTTGGAGACACCTGAACTCCATCATTTGAAGGTGGTCCTTGTACATTTCGCTATTATAACTGGTGTATGGGGCTCCATGTTTGCCTTCACCCCCCCCCTCCACACACACACCCCTACCCCTACCCCTGAGGTCCTCCACTTGAAGGTATTTTATGCTTTTCTTCTTTATTATTTTGTTTTAACTTGCCTTTTTGATTTCTTCTGGCTGTTCATGCGACATTCTGGGTTCTCTTCCTCCTGGGTTTTCTCGATCATGGCCAGTCCTGGATGATGCAGAGAACGGCACTGCCCTCTGGATCATTACATTGTTACTGCAGGGTACCATGTTCAGGGGCCATGGCCATGACACCCTACATTCAGTTTTTCCCCAGTCTTCTGGGTTGAGTTACTTCTCAATATCATTCAAGCCAATAGACCTGAGGGCATCTTGCGACCAATAAGAGCTGCTGTGGAAGACAACTTCAGGATAATGGTGAGTATTGCAGCCTGGATTTGGGGGTTTTCTCATGGTTGTCAGTCCTAGATGATGAAGAGAATGGCACCAACTTCTGCACCCAAGCACTGTGAGTGCAGGGTACTGTGTTCAGGGGGCGGGGCCTGGGTTGAGTTACATCGGGCATCACTGAGAACACTGAGGGCATCTTGTGGCCAATAAGCACTACTGTGGAGGACAAATTCAGGAGAAAGGTGAATATTGCAGCCTGGAGTTGGAGGTTTTCCCACTATTGTTACCAGTCCTGGAAGGTTCAGAGGATGGCTCTGCCCTCTGCATCAGCGGACTATGAGTGCAGGGTACGGTGTTCAGGGGGTGGGGCCATGACACCCTACTTTCGCAGTCATTCCCCAGTCTTCTGGGTTAAGTTACACTGGGCGTCATTCAACCTAGAAGACTGAGGGCATCTAAAAGAGGTAGACCTTTGGATTGAAGGTGAGTATTGCAACCTGGAGTTGGAGGTTTTTCCCACTATTGCGGCCAGTCCTGGAGGGTTCAGAGAACGGCACTGCCCTCTGCATCAGTGGACTATGAGTTTTGGATACGGTGTTCAGGGGGTGGGGCCATGACACCCTACTTTCGCAGTCATTCCCCAGTCTTCTGGGTTGAGTTACACTGGCACCTAGAAGGGCATCTAAAAGAGGTAGACCTTTGGATTGAAGGTGAGTATTGCAGCCTGGAGTTGGAGGTTTTCCCACTATTGTGGCCAGTCCTGGATGGTTCAGAGGACAGCACTGCCCTCTTCACCAGTCTTCTGGGTTGAGTTACACTGGGTGTCATTCAACCTAGAAGGCTGAGGGCATCTTTCATCTAATAAGAGGTACACCTTTGGATTGAAGGTGAGTATTGCAGCCTGGAGTTGAGATGAACATTTTCCATTTCTGGTTTCCATTTTATGTTGGTTAATAGATCCATAATTATTTTTGGGACAGTCCGAGCTGCAGTTTGTGTTGTACTGTCGAGTTTACTTTCTAAGTGCTACATTTTGCTGCTACCATGAGACCCGCTAATGATGGTTTCAAGATAAATGAGTGCTGTAAGGAAATGTTTCTTTGCCCCCCTATAGGATCATGCACAGAAGAGGAACATCTGGAAAACCAGATCACAAGGATCTCAGCGAGAACCTGGCGGCAACTCAGGGATTGCTCCATATGATCACCGAGTGCAAGAAGCTCTTTCAGGTGACTTGGTCTTCTATTCAATTCTATTCACACGGGATGCAATTTTATATAGAAAGATTCAGGCTTCATAAATCCAAAATCCATTACCAAATGATTTTGATCACTTTTAATCAGAAAGAACTGGGCGTTTACCTCCTGGAAGAGGAAGACCAGAAATGGGTCAAACCAATAAGATGGGTCAAACCAGTCAAATGTAGACTTATAGCACTCCTATGCTGACACGTGTATGTTCTCTGTTGTGTTGTATAGGTCCCTCATGATATGATGCTCCAGTCCCGCAACTCTTATGTAGCTGCCGACACTCAGCCGCTATCTCTGGAGGACTTTTGTGTGACCCCAGCTGGAGAGACCAGGGATTTCTCTTCCCTTCTGGACAGCAGCATCCACAGTCTTATCCATGAATCTTCAGAACGATTTAAAGGGTGGACGGCCATGCCTGGCCCAGAGAACACGGAGCTGTCATGTAAGAAGGTGAGACCTCCGGGGGCTTGAGGGCCTGGGCAACTCTTGTAGTGGGGACCTTGTGTTCTGTCAATGATGGTGCAGAAGACATTAGGAGAAAGTGATTGGATAGTTTTTTTTTTTTTCTGGGTGACCTCATTGTTTTAGAAGTGCACATTATGTAAAATTTTGGTTTCCAATCTTGTGGGGAAACCATTTCTGTGCCCCTGTGTACAAAGCCAGCTCCATAAAGACATGGTTTGACCAGTTTGGTGTGGAGGAACTTGAGTGTCCTTCAGAGCCCTGACCTCAACCATACTGAACACCTTTGGGATGAGTTGGAACTATGATGGTGAGCCAGGTCTTTTATTTGATACCCAACATGGGACCCAGGTCGTCCCATCCAACACCAGTAACTGACCTCACAGATGGGCACAAATTCCCCCCACCCCCCTCAAATCTTCTGCAAAGCCTTCCCAGAAGAGTGGTGGCTTTTGTGGACACCAAGGGCCAATTCCATATTAATCGCCTTGGCTGAGGGTTGCAACCTCATATTAATGGCCATGATTTTGCAATGGGATGTCAAACAAGCTCATCTAGGTGTGATGACAGTTTGGCGTGGAGGAACTTGAATGTTCTGCACAGAGCCCTGACCTCAGCCCTACTGATTACCTTTGGGATAAATTGGAACGCCAATTGTGAGCCAGGTCTTCTCCTCCATCACTACCTGACCTCACAAATGGGTGAAAATTCCAACAGACAACCTCCAAACTCCTGTGGAAAGCCTTCTCCGAAGACTGGAGGATGTTATAACCACAAAGAGGACAACTTCTTATTAATGGTCAAGGGGGCGAAACTCCATATTGATGACTTTAGAGGGGTCAACTCCATGGTAATGACCATGGGGGAAAGAGGGTCTACTCCATATTCGTGGCCATGGTTTTGCAATGGGATGTCCAACAAGCTCATATAGGTGTGATGGCAGTTTGGCGTGGAGGAACTTGAATATTCTGCAGAAAGCTCTGACCTCAGCCCTACTGATTACCTTTGGGATAAATTGGACCGCGAATTGTGTGCCAGGTCTTCTCCTCCATTACTACCTGACCTCACAAATGGGTGCAAATTCCAACTCCAACAGACAACCTCAAAACTCCTGTGGAAAGCCTTCTCCGAAGAGTGGAGGATGTTATAACCACAAAGGGGACAACTTCTTATTAATGGTCAAGGGGGAAAGGGGGGAAACTCCATATTAATGACTTTAGAGGGGTCAACTCCATGGTAATGGCCATGAGGGAAAGGGAGTCTACTCCATATTCGTGGCCATGGTTTTGGAATGGGATGTCCAAGAAGCTTATTTAGGTGTGATAGCTGGAGGAGCTCAAGTGTCCTGCACAGGGAGATGTTATAGCCACAAAGGGGGGGAAAACTCCATGGGGCAAGAGGAAGGAGGGCAGTGCCGTATTACTGGTCATGGGGGGAAAGGTGGGCAACTTCATATTGATCGACATGGGGGGAAGGTGGGCCACTCAATATTAATGGCCACGGTTTTGGAATGGGATATCAAACAAGCTCTCGTAGGTGTGATGGTCAGGTGTCCACCAACTATTGGCCATATGGTGAACGACAGAGCTGCACAATCCATTACCTTCAGTAAAAGGTAATTTTGGCAATATCTCTATATATTTTAGAACTGTCTATATTGTCTATAGTGAATGTCCCTAGGGACCTTAGAGTGTACACTCCTTGAGGGTTAGGGACAGATGTGATGTACAATATATACTTTGCGTAAAGGCATTAGTGATGCTTCTAATCCAATGTCTTTGTAGGCCGGTGACTGGGGAACCCTTTGCGCCTATGGAAGGTGTCCACCGAGGTTGAAGCTCCACCAAGCTCGTTGCTTCATCGTGTTTTTGCGAGAGCGCCACCTATGGGACGATGACCTCCTGCAAGGCCGAGTGGTAGAAACCTTGGAGCAAAATACAGACCTGTTCCACTATGTGACGGACAGTATGGCTCCGCACCCGAGGCGGCAATTCTTAGTGCTACGGTATGTGCAAAACTCAACATGGTCTTTTCTGCTCAACAGAAGCCTGGCTTTCAGTTGGAAGTCCATGCACCTGGGGGGGGGGGGGGGGGGGGGGGGGGGGGGGGGGGGGGGGGGGGGGGGGGTCACATAAGTGTATTCCAGCTAAGGCCTCATGCTCATGGACGTTTAGCAGCTCCTGTGTGCCGAAGCGTAACACTCCCAATGCTTTCATGCACCTCGGGAACTGTGCATACCATGGTAATCCAAATGCATGGCTGTGGGCGACCCTACTGGGTCAAATGCCGATTGTTTGTTTTTGCATCACTGAATGCATTTTCCCCCCAAAACAAAAATGGTGTGTAGGGAGAAACCCTGAACGCCCATGCGCCTGGAAATGCTGGTGCAGAAGCCGCAGGCATTTACCTGAGCACAGCCATTCACTTGTATTGCCAGCCCCGTATTCAGATTCTCTATATCCAAACCCATTCTTGAAGGTCTCGACCGTTGGCGTTCTAGCAGAACATCTTCCATCTTTGTCCTCCTGAGTATACCTAGTAACATATCGTTTTCTTTCTGCCCTATATAGGAAATGGCGCACAGACCTTCCCAGGGGTGGGTGCGTTTTAGTATCCACATCCGTGGACCATGCCACCGGCCAACCAGAGGACGGGGTTCAAGCCATGATTGTCAGCTCACAGTATTTAATGGAGCCTTGTGGAATGGGACGGACCAGGCTAACCTACATTTGCAGAGCGGACCTTAGGTAACCTTTTCGATGGATGTTTGGTCAAATTTTAAAAGTAGAACGAGCTAAAGAATAACCCAGGGTTATCTACATGTTGGAAGAAAGAAAGTTGGTGAGGCTTTGGTTATAGATAAGTGGTGGAGATACCATTGCTTTCTTATTGAGGCATGCAATGCGCCATTTATCTGAACACACCCTACCAAGAAGAGAGGGGTCTCGAAAAGGTCCAGCTCTAGCGGAAGCAGTAAGGGCGCCATGTCAATGGCCAAAGAGTCCAAAATGATGATTTATTACATAGATGGAAAATAATGGCCAACTCCTTTTTTTTTTTTTTATTCTCCTACTTGAGTTGCAGGCCTGATGATGGGGCGTCTTAACCCCAAAACGTGTTGGGTCTTTTTTTCCTACTGAATTTTTCAGTTTATCAAAACAGTGTTTTACAGAGAGTACATGTGACCGTAGGAAACACAATGAACAATAGGACCCATTTTGGTCAAACTGAGATGGGAGGCACCCAAAGAAATTGCAGGTTACAGTGGCAACGAGGGCATGTGAATGCAAGATGATAACATAACATTACAGTCACAATTTCCCAGAACCTCACGGAGAGCATAATTCCAAGGCTCACGGTCACAATTTTCCCAACAAGGGGAGAACCTCACGGACAGCATAATTCCAAGGCTCACGGTCACAGTTTCCCAACAGGGGGAGAACCTCACGGAGAGCATAATTCCAAGGCTCACGGTCACAATTTCCCAACAAGGGGAGAACCTCACGGAGAGCATAATTCCAAGGCTCACGGCCACAATTTCCCAACAGGAGGAGAACCTCACAGAAAGTATAATTCCAAGGCTCGCGGCCCCAATTTCCCAACAGGGGGAGAACCTCACGGAGAGCATAATTCCAAGGTTCACGGTCACAATTTCCCAACAGGAGGAGAACCTCACGGAGAGCATAATTCCAAGGCTCAAGGCCACAATTTCCCAACAGGGGGAGAACCTCACGGGGAGCATAATTCCAAGGCTCAAGGCCACAATTTCCCAACAGGGGGAGAACCTCACGGAGAGCATAATTCCAAGGCTCACTGCCTTAATTTCCCAACAGGAGGAGAACCTCACGGAGAGCATAATTCCAAAGCTCGCGGCCCCAATTTCCCAACAGGGGGAGAACCTCACGGAGAGCATAATTCCAAGGCTCACGGTCACAATTTCCACAACAGGGGGAGAACCTCACGGAGAGCATAATTCCAAGGCTCACGGTCACAATTTCCCAACAAGGGGAGAACCTCACGGAGAGCATAATTCCAAGGCTCACGGCCACAATTTCCCAACAGGGGGAGAACCTCACGGAGAGCATAATTCCAAAGCTCGCGGCCCAATTTCCAATTTCCCAACCGGGGGAGAACCTCACGGAGAGCATAATTCCAAGGCTCACGGTCACAATTTCCACAACAGGGGGAGAACCTCACGGAGAGCATAATTCCAAGGCTCACGGTCACAATTTCCCAACAACAAGGGGGGAGAACCTCACGGAGAGCATAATTCCAAGGCTCACGGTCACAATTTCCCAACAGGGGGAGAACCTCACGGAGAGCATAATTCCAAGGCTCACGGTCACAATTTCCCAACAAGGGGAGAACCTCACGGAGAGCATAATTCCAAGGCTCACGGCCACAATTTCCCAACAGGAGGAGAACCTCACAGAAGCATAATTCCAAGGCTCACGGCCACAATTTCCCAACAGGAGGAGAACCTCACGGAGAGCATAATTCCAAGGCTCACGGTCACAATTTCCCAACAAGGGGAGAACCTCACGGAGAGCATAATTCCAAGGCTCACACAATTTCCCCTTAACTTCTCAACAGGGGAGAACCTCATGGAGAGCATAATTCCAAGGCTCACGGCCACAATTTCCCAACAGAGGGAGAACCTCATGGAGAGCACAAATTCCAAGGCTCACGGCCACAATTTCCCAACAGGGGAGAACCTCATGGAAAGCATAATTCCAAGGCTCACGGTCACAATTTCCCAACAGGAGGAGAACCTCATGGAGAGCATAATTCCAAGGCTCACGGCCACAATTTCCCAACAGAGGGAGAACCTCATGGAGAGCACAATTCCAAGGCTCACGGTCACAATTTCCCAACAGGGGGAGAACCTCACGGAGAGCATAATTCCAAGGTTCACGGCCACAATTTCCCAACAGGGGGAGAACCTCACCGAAAGCAAAATTCCAAGGCTCACTTCCTTAATTTCCCAACAGGGGGAGAACCTCACGGAGAGCAAAATTCCAAGGCTCACGGCCACAATTTCCCTGCCACAATTTCCCAACTGGGGGAGAACCTCACGGAGAGCAAAATTCCAAGGCTCACGGCCACAATTTCCCAACAGGGGGAGAACCTCACAGAGAGCATAATTCCAAGGCTCACGGTCACAATTTCCCAACAAGGGGGAGAACCTCACGGAGAGCATAATTCCAAGGCTCACGGCCACAATTTCCCAACAGGAGGAGAACCTCACAGAAAGTATAATTCCAAGGCTCACGGCCACAATTTCCCAACAGGGGGAGAACCTCACGGAGAGCATAATTCCAAGGCTCATGGACACAATTTCCCAACAGGAGGAGAACCTCACGGGGAGCATAATTCCAAGGCTCACGGCTACAATTTCCCAACAGGAGGAGAACCTCACGGGGAGCATAATTCCAAGGCTCATGTCAACTATAAAAAACTATCTAGATGGCATGTCTTGACATGTCCTGTCTTGGCAACTGGTGCAATATTCACATATGCCCTGATAACCATAATCTGTGGTATTCGTGCCTAATCTGGCGGCCACTGATGGGTTGGGTCCAGTCTAAAGAGACAGGTGAAGAAAGTAGAGAAGGGACAAAAGAGAGATGAGAAGTAGGGAAGAGGGTTATGGGGAACTGCATCGGGCAGGAGGGAGTCCATCTCAACAGATGGCCATAGGAACCTGTAAGCCTTAGGTAGCCGGAGAGGTCCACCAAGAGAGCAAGATTAGGTTTTCGCTATCTATGGATTCACCGGTGCTTGCGTATCACACATTATTTGTTTGTAATCAGCTGCATAGGAGAAGTCCAACCAATAAAAAAGAATCTACAAGTGGTCACTTAAGGGGTGGTAGTTAGGTCCTCCTTTTTTTATAACATTTTTAATAAAAAAAAAAAAACATTGGATTTGACCATTGGTATGGCCCTCCTACTGCTTCCTATAAAATTGGGAGTTGGAACTTTTCTCAAGACCCCATATTATAAAAGATCTAGGACCTGTTTTGGACGTAGTTCCTCAGTTTTTCATTGGAGTCTTTGGCCTCCCTGCATAGATTCTCCCTTTCTATCTGACTTGTGACCATTGTCATCCTAGACAGAAATTGAAATGAAGTCCGAACCCTTACAGTTGTCACCAGAAGGTGTGTGCTGCTGCAGTCTACATTCCCCACTGCAGGTGGAGCTAGACCAGGGGTGGGCAAACTTTTTGACTTGAGGGCCGCAATGGGTTCATATATTGGACCCGGGGGCCGGACCAAGAGTAGATGAATGATGTGTATGTGTCATCCATAGTAAGTATAGTAATATTCCCCCATAGTAAGCATAGTAATTAATCCCCCATATAGTAATTCATCCCCCCATAGTAATTCATCCCCATATAGTAATTAGTAGTAATTCATTCCCCCCATATAGTAATTCATCCCCCATATAGTAATTCATCCCCCCTATAGTAATTCATCCCCCCTATAGTAAGTAATTCATCCCCCATATTAAGTCCCCAAGTCCCCCCTGTGTCAATTCACTTACCTTTGCTCCGCGCGTTCCTCTCGCCCTGTTCCCGCGCCGTTCCGGTGTAGCATGAAAATCTGTCTCCTATGAGGATCTGCCCCCCTCGACGTATCTGCGCATGTGCCAGTTTCAGGCATTAGCAGCCGATCGGCGATCTCGGCACATGCGCAGATACGTCGAGGGGGACAGATCCTCATAGGAGGCAGATTTTCATGGTACACCAGTCTTCAGGGCGGACTGTGAGAGGAGCCTAGCTCCCCTCACGTTCGTCATGCTGCCCCGCCTACACACATCCTGACAGCCATCCTGACAGTATCAGGCTCCGCGGGCCGGATTTAAAACGTCCGCCGGGCCGTAGTTTGCCCATTGCTGAGCTAGACTGTAGCAGCTGGGGAAGGAAGTCAGGAGAAACAGGGTTTCTCTATGGTTTCCTCTGTCCCCTGGAGCAGTGATTCGGTTGGGTGTGCTGGATCCAAGCAACCCTGGTGGCCATCTTGGGTCACGCAGAGTCTTTTTTTAAGTCCCTACCCCCGCGTATTGGTATGCATTTTGCAAGTGGCTAGTGTGGGGACAGGATACCCATCTGTCAGGGACAGCACTAGTGGTAGGGAGAGGTTCCAGTGTAGTAGGGCCTGCCCTACAGAAGCTCCCCTTTGGGCTGTACCGGACCCAATCCAACCCAGCTGGGACCCTCACGCTGCTGACTTTGCTCTGAACTGTTCTAAGTGCCCCAGTTGGGTGAGTTCTCCCGCCAGGCTTGTTCTGCAATACATCGTTTTTTGACAATCCGGAACTCTGCGTGCTCTCTACCGGAGCACCACCACGCTGCTCTCAATGGGGGAGGGTAAATTTGTCACCTGTTTGAAGCAAATTCTCCTCACTTTTCTTCTAGCTTCCTGTTGAGTCTCTAAAACAGGAAAGTATAGGGGCATCTGCCCAGTAGTAGAGACAGCACGATAAGTTGAAGGGGAATGGTACCAGGGGCGGACTGACAACTCATGGGGCCCCTGTGCCCTTGTCCAAACTCAAAAAAGCCTATGAAAAAGGTACCAGGGGCATCTCATGGGACCCCCTACTGACCCCGGGCCCTCGGGCAGTGCCTGAGTTTCCAAATGGTCAGTCCGCCCCTCGAGGGTACAACCCTTTCCTTCTCTCTCCAAAACTAAAATGAGGTTTGGCTGTACATACACTTTGAGAACGACCAAATCTGACCAACATTTTTTATTTCTGCTTCCAGAGGACGTTCTCCCGACTGGTACAACAAGGTGTTTGGACATCTCTGTGCGATGGAAGTCGCTCGTATCCGCAACTCTTTCCCTCCTCTAAGTCCATGTGGACCTGAAACAAAGCTCTAACTAAATGGATATCTAAGTGACTTCATGAATGTCTTGAGGAGCCTTGTCACCAAATCCACCATCTCTTCTGGACCAGATGAGTGGAGCCGCGTCAACTAACGTGGCCTAGCCCTTTAGGCACATACTTTCCATGGGAACATCTCTGAGGAGGACCAGAAGCACAATAGAGGTCATCTTTGACTTCAGACGTCTCGCTTCCAAAGATGTCAAAACTGACCATGTTCCTGCTGACCTGAAGGGTGGTATTGAGTGTGACACTAGCTATGCAGTATTCTTGTGCTGCTCTTCTAGAAGAATGTAACCAGAAAATCAGTATTATGTGTTTGTATTGTGTGTATGCCTTGACTCGGTGATGCCAGTAAGCAGGATTTTTTTTGTATGTTACAATGTGGCACGTAGTGGTGGTGTGAATGTTCTGAGGTTCTCCACCCTTAGGTGGGTGAGATGTGTTTAGGGTGATGTACGCGTGTGTTGAGATATTTATGATGCCTGCTTGAGAGTAGAACTGGACTAAACTTAGCACATAACCGGGATCTGGTTGTCCACATTACTGGGGAGATCTGACTTCTCCCCCATATTGTGGGCCGAAGGGTCCAAAACTGATCACAAACTATGACTGACTGCCAGGCTGATCCTGGAGAACATCACATTGGTGGTGGGTTGTGCAAATCTATTCAGTAGACCATCACTTTTGTTGGAGTGTATGGCTGGGCAATATATATGTACCATGGATGCAATCCATCTCTGCCATGCATACACATTTCCCCGTGTTTTATTGATTTAAAAATCCTGCAAGTACAATACAATAAAGATATCCATTGATCTGCCAGAAATCAAGTGAGCTCTATTATTTTTCATTGTTCGGCCCCTGTAGTGCTTTGTCCCATGTGGGTAAGCGCTTCCTTACTCTAGCTGTGTGGTTGCAGTGGGTACAGCGACCAAGTGGACACTCCCGCTCCATGGCCGTCCCGACAACATAGCTTGCCTTGGCTTTCTGAGACCAGCAGTAGGAAGGGAAATGCAGAAGGACAGAGCGTTGACACCAGGGGCGGACTGACCATTTGGAAACTTGGGGAGGGCCCGGGTCAGTAGGAGGCCCCATGAGATGCCCCTGGTACCTTTTTCTTAGGCTTTTTTGAGTTTGGGCAAGGACACAGGGGTCCCATGAGTTGTCAGTCCGCACTTGGTTGACACCCTCATTGTCCCACTGCATTCCTCTTGCCTCCACCTGTCTTGGCAAAGTGCTCAGATCCAAGCCAAGACAAGCCGCCTTTCCTTGCTATAAGTTTGCACTGGCCACCCGTCATTTGTAGCTATGAGGTTGTAATGAGCATCCCACTCTTTCCCCAAGGTCGTCTGTTGGCATAGCTAGAAAGGAGGGATTGGCTCGACGCTGAGCATTTTCTGAGAAGGGGAACTGGAGAGGGATGGGAGACTGATGCACGACCCACTCTGCTTTCCTCTTGGTTGGAGAAAGTTCTCAGAGTTGACCCAAGACCTCCTTTTTAGCTATGAGGTTGTAATGAGCGTCCCACTCTTTCCCCAAGGTCGTCTGATGGCATAGCTAGAAAGGAGGGATTGGCTCGACGCTGAGCATTTTCTGAGAAAAGCGGTGGCAGGGGAACTGCAGAGGGATGGGAGACTGAAGCACGACCCGCTTTGCTTTCCTCTTGCCACCCTCTTGGAGAAAGTTCTCAGAGTTGACCCAAGCCCTCCTTTTTAGCTATGAGGTTGCGCTGAGTCCCACTCTTTTCCCCAAGGTCGTCTGATGGCATAGCTAGAAAGGAGGGATTGGCTCGACGCTGAGCATTTTCTGAGAAAAGCGGTGGCAGGGGAACTGCAGAGGGATGGGAGACTGAAGCACGACCCGCTTTGCTTTCCTTGCCACCCTCTTGGTTAGAGAAAGTTCTCAGAGTTGACCCAAGCCCTCCTTTTTAGCTATGAGGTTGTGCTGAGTGTCCCACTCTTTCCCCAAGGTCGTCTGATGGCATAGCTAGAAAGGAGGACTTGTCTGGGCTCTGAGCAGCAAGGAAAATGCTGAGGGATAGGAAGACGACACATTAATCCTCCTACTGCCTTCCTCTTGCCACCATTTCTCTCAGCAAAGTGCTCAGAACTGCAGAAAGCCTTCTTTCCTAGCTATGAAGCAATGGGTAACACCTACCTCCCCATCCGCTCCAGCAGTCCAACAACCTAACTAGACAGGAGGGCTTGTCCCGGGCACTTTGTCTGCTTGTCTCGGGCACGGGCACTTTGCTTGTCACGGGCACGGGCACTTTGCTTGTGTCACGGGCACTTTGTCTGCTTGTCCTGGGCGCGGGCAGCAGGGGGAAGCATATGGTGCACAGGGAAGGGTGATGAGGGAAGGGGGCAATTACTGGAACTGATCCCTTGTATGGCTCTCTCCGCAGCAGTTAAAGCCAGCGGGAGGGAGAGGAGGGAAGCCGGCAGCATGGCAGGAGTGGGGGGCCTGAGCAGCAGGGGGAACCATATGGTGCACAGGGAAGGGTGATGGAGGAAGGGGGCAATTACTGGAACCGATCCCCTGTATGGCTCTCTCAGCGGCAGCTAAAGCCAGAGGGAGAGGAGGGAAGCCGGCAGCATGGCGGGAGTGGGGGGCCTGAGCAGCAGGGGCAACCGTATGGTGCACAGGGAAGGGTGATGAGGGAAGGGGGCAATGACTGGAACCGATCCCCTGTATGGCTCTTTCCGCAGCAGCTAAAGCCAGAGGGAGGGAGAGGAGGGAAGCTGGCAGTACTGCGGGGGTGGGGTGGGGGCTTGGGCAGCAGGGGGAAACGTATGAAGCACGGGGAAGGGTGATGGGGGAAATTACTGGAACCGATCCCCTGTATGGCTCTCTCCGCAGCAGCTGAAAGCCAGCGGGAGGGAGAAGAGAAGAAGCCAGTCTTCAGCTGCTGCAGGGAGATCCATACAGGGGATCGGTTCCATTAATTTCCCCCCTGCCACGTCGATCACCCCAGCTGCCTGGGCCTGGGCCCCCCTGCTGGCCTGGGTCCCGTACAGGAGGACTGGTGGCACCCCCTTATCCACGGCCCTGAGTGGGGCGCCAGTTAGTACCCAACAACATGTAACAAAGTACTACAAACCTAGCGAGGGAACAAGAAAAACAAAATGTAACGATAGTTCCTGTAGTGAGCTGAGAACTCACTCGAAATCCTGCAGTGTTGCCAGCCCCGCCCACCTCTCCCCATGTTGGACTACAGAACACCTCCTCCTGTGTTACGGAAATGAGAAAGGAAGATGTTCTGTAGTCCCAGCTGGGCTGACCAGCAACACTCCCCTTGGGGTTTTTTTTTTTTTTTTTTTTTAGTGCAGCATTGTAGGCTCGCTCCAAGACAATCTGAGATCGCTGGATTTCAGGCGGATCAGCGGTTATTTTTTTTTTTCCTGTATTTGCAGCATTTAAAAAAAAACAAACCGTGTGGACATGTCCTCGTCGTGAAGAGTACTGACTTCTTTCCCATTTTTTTGGGTTTTTTTTTTTGTTTTGCTTTGTTTTTTTTTTCTTGTATTTTATTTTTTTGTGGTTTTTTTTTTTTTTTTTGTTTATTGCTTTTGTTTTTTTTTTTTTTCTTGTATTTTATTTTGTTTTTTGTGGGGTTTTTTTTTGTTTTTTGTTTTGTTTTTTTAACTTTGCGCACAGAAATATAAAACCTTTCCCACAAATGACCAAGTTTGCCCAGCCGCTGATTTAGAAAAAATAAAATAGCGCCCCATTAAGTCCTAAAAACTCAACTCTTCGGAGCCTTGTAAAAAAATTAAAATGGGGAAAAAAAAATAAAAAATTAGTGGCAGTAAAACGACAAAAGCAAACAAGCTACTTCTTCTAGTGGTATCATTGACAACTGCCCCCCTCCTGAGCGCATGGGGCGGAGCTACGACTTGCTGTCCTAATATTAGCGTCGAATCATTTTGAAGCCTGATTTGGTTTGGAGTTCGCTCGATCTCTGGACAAACGACATGCAGTTTATGGCAACTAAATTCAGATTCCCCCCCCCCGCCATAGGCACACAGGGGCGGCTATAGCCGCGTGCAGTAATCATTGTGTTCTGTCGGCGGGGAAAACCCGCGGGAGGGATTCCCTCATCAACATGGACTGTGTTGATGGAGGAATCGAGTGATTTTTCTTTCCCTCAACACCTGGTTGCAGGAAAGAAAATTACATCATCTATGGCTTGCCTAAGTCACTGCTGGGGGGGGGGAGCGGAGTCGCTCCTGGGTGGGGAGAGCGGGAGGAGCTGGGCTGTTGAGCCGCTCCTGGGTGGGGAGAGCGGGAGGAGGTGGGCTGCCGAGCTGCTCCTGGGCGGGAGGAGGTGGGCTGCCGAGCCGCTCCTGGGCGGGAGGAGGTGGGCTGCCGAGCCGCTCCTGGGCGGGGAGAGCGGGAGGAGCTGGGCTGCCGAGCCCCTCCTGGGCGGGGAGAGCGGGAGGAGCTGGGCTGCCGAGCCCCTCCTGGGCGGGGGGGAGAGCGGGAGGAGCTGGGCTGCCGAGCCCCTCCTGGGCGGGGAGAGCGGGAGGAGCTGGGCTATCGAGCCGCTCCTGGGCAGGGGCGGACTGACAGCTCATGGGGCCCCCGGGCAATAGGGGATCGTGGGGCCCCTGTGTCCTTGCCCAAACTCAAAAAAGCTTATGAAAAAGGTACCAGGGGCATCTCATGGGGCCCCCTACTGACCCCGGGCCCTCGGGCAGTGCCGGAGTTTCCAAATGGTCAGTCCGCCCCTGCTCCTGGGTGAGGAGAGCAGGAGGAGCAGGGCTGCCGAGTGCGCTCCTGGCTCTGCTAAAAGAACTGCATAAGATCACTGCGTCCGCTGTAAATTTGAGAATGAATTGTTCAACAGTACCTGCAGCTACAGAGGTCAGTGATGGCTTGCTCAATAAGAATGTGGAAGGCTGGCAGTCAGGGCTCTCTTAATGCATGGGCAGTTCCCAGGTGCATGTGGGGCCCCCATGTTAGCCTTGCCTTACATCACACGTGCCAACGG